GTTTATTTGTTTAATGTGGTGCTGAGGATGGAACCCATTGCCTCCCCCTTGCTAAGCCAGTACTTTATCACTGAGCTACAATCCCAGCCCTATGTTTAATTTTTGATCACTCTTAGGACTGTGATATGGATTAATTTACCATTAAGTTTATCCTTTTTTTTTCTTTGTGTGCTGTGGATTGAATTTGGACTTGAATGTATAAGTGTTCTATCACTGAGCTTCCTCATCATTCCTAAGTTTATACTTAATGACCATTCATTTGCCTACCAGAAGGTCCTTCTGAGTCTACATTTGTAGAAGCAAGTTCTAGATTTACTCTTACAACATGTTGACCAGTATTTGACGGTGTTAACATCTCTCTTTGCCAGAGACTCTGCCAAGCCATTTGCAGCATGCACTTTTTTTTAAAACTTTGAGACATTTATTTACTTTTCCTCATCACCCGTCATGGTTTCTGTCATGATTTTGAATGGTCAAATGTTCTCTCTTCAGGAATTTTCACAGTTTTTTAAATTGTGAAATTTCAGGTTCACAATTTTTAAATTGTGGATTTTCAGGTTTCACTTAATTTTGCCCTGAAGAGAGAGACTGACAATCTTTGGCCATTCACTACCTTAAGAGCTTTTGGTTTCACAGCTCCCCACCCCCAGGTTATTTCTCCAGTGTCACTCAGTTTATATGTATGTGGTAAAGTGATAGTTAATCCAGGTTTACTGTAGAGAATCTGTAAGCTTTTTGGTTTGTGTTCCAACAACAAAAGAAATACATGAAGGATAATGAGAGAGGAGGGGGAAAAAGGGAGATTGTGAACTGTTTGTCAGGATGAACCCAGCTATTGTGTATAACTATATAGCTCTCAAAATAAAAAAAAAAGTAATACATTTTTAGTGTAAAAACAGAATATCACTGAGGTGTATTGTGCAGAAAGTAAGAATATTCTGTGATCTCATTCGTAGGTAGCTTTCTATCTTTTAAAAAATATATACAGGTAGATTATTTTGTTTTATGGAAATGGGATAAACTAATTTTTCTGCAGTTTTTTTAAACTTGATAACATACCTTCCCACTATATAGAAAGATATCCCCTAGGTAAATTCATGGATATTGATCAAGTATATATATTTTGCACATTGTATTTTGTGTCACTATTTTAGTAAAATTAATCAGGGAAGTGGAATTGCTTAATCAGAGTATGTATTTTAAAATTGTTGTAGTACCAAATTACTCTCCAAAAATATTGAGCTAATTAATTCTCAGCTAGAATGTGGACTCTGATAGTTTTATATATACCAAGCTAAATCTGGCAGATAGTAGTAACTTTTCAGTGTTGAATGAGTAACATATGATAGGGTAGAGAGCCTCTTTACCCAAAGTATACAAAAACTGGATATTATTAGTCTTTAAAATATATAGCTAGGTGTGGTGGCACACATTGGTAATCCCAGCAACTGGTGAGGCTGAGCAGGAGGTTAAGGCCAGCTTAGACTCTCTCAAAATAAAAAGGTTTTGGGATGCTGCTCAGTGGTAGAGCATCCCTAAATTTAAGACTCAGTACAAAAAAAAAAAGCTGATTTATACATGAAATTTAATTTGTTTTAATTTACATTTCCTTTTTTTTTTTTTTTTTTAGGGGGTAGTGCTGGGAATCAAACATAGGGCCTTGAGTAAGCTAGGCAAATGTTCTACCACTGAGTATATCCCCAGCACATTGCATTTCCTTTTATGTGTTTTAAAGTAACATTTTTAGCTTGTATTGAGTGGTGTTATACATTAGGCTCTGACCAAAGTACTTTGCATATATTATCTAATTTAATGCTCAGTGAATCTTAAAAGCAGCTATTATCCCATTTTACAGATTAGAAAACAGACTTATTTAAAAGGCTTTCCTAAGTTATTGCTATGATTGGCAGGGTCATTACTTAAATGAATAACAGTTAGCCTGCCTCTGGACAGATTATGCAAACTCAACACTATACTGTCCCATTGTGATATATTTTCTGTTAATTTGGGGAAGAAGAGAAATAAACAGAAGAAAGACAATAGGATACTGCATTTTAGGGAACTGCATTTTCAGATATAGGGCACATCCTTTGAACAATTAGTTGTACTTTATTTAAATTCCGTGAATGCCTGGTGTGGTGCACGCCCGTAATTCCAGCTACTTGGGAGGCTACTAGCCTGGGAGACTTTTTAAGACCCTGCCTCAGAGTAAAAAATGAAAATGTGAGGCCCTGAGTTCAATCCCCAGTATCCAAAAAAAAAAAAAAGAAAGAAAGAAAGAAAAAAAAATCACTGAGTGCAATGAGCTGTAGAGTGTGTGCTAACAGTTTAGACAGTTTAGAGATGCTCTGATCAGGGGACAGTGTTAAGCGTATTGCTACTTCATTTTCTTGGGGAGAACAGCAGCATCTGTGCAGAGGTTAGGGTTTAGCTCAGTGGTAGAGTGCATGCTTAATGTCTTGGGTTCAATTCGCGTCATACCGCAAAAGGGGGAAATTTATTTAAAAAATTGTGTCTTCCTTCAGATTTGTTACTTTTAGACATTAGTGTTATGTATGGGATAGAATTCCTTTTCTTTGGATACCCTAAGAAGCTGACCTTTCCAAGTTTTGTAAATGCGATGCTAAATTTTATTTGGCACAGCCTTGTAAGTATTAATTTTCTATGAACTGTTTCACAAAACAATTTACTTGAGTGATTACTTGAATGATTATACGTTTGAGGAGTGTTAGTCTTTCAAAGCTTTCACTCAGTAACCTGTGGCAGATGAATTGAGTAGGTGGGTGTTGAGAACCATCTTGTTTTTTATGTTCCTGCTATTCAACTATGATGCAGGTAAAAGTTTACGCCCTATATTACATGGTACCTTGACAGTGACAGTGCTTTGATTTGTGTGGTTTCTGTTTTAAAAAATAAAACTTGTTTTTTCAGATTTGTTCCATTCTTCTTCAGCTTTCCATCATTGATGCATATAGGCTCCTCAATTAGCCCTGAGGACCTGTTAAAATAAGTAGGCAATGGAAGATATACTCTGGCTTTTAAAATTATATATGGAGGGCTGGGGATGTGGCTCAAGCGGTAGTTCGCTCGCCTGGCATGCTCTGAGTTCGATCCTCAGCACCATATAAAAAAAAAAATAAAATAACGATGTTGTGTCCACCGAAAACCAAAAAATAAATATTAAAAAATTCTCTCTCTTTAAAAAAATTATATATGGACTAATTTGATAAAAATAACTACAGAGTGTAAGTGAAGGGCATTTAGATACACAAAAATCTTAGTATTTTAAAAATATTTATGTTTGCTGTAGCTTTTCTTTACTCTTTTAGAGCCAGCACCACATAGAATGTCTTAGGTATGACCTGGAAGGTAGTGGTTTGGTTTATTAGTTACCTGCAGCAGAATGTTTGGCTTTCAGAATTAGCCTGAAAGACTTTTTACCAGGTGATTTCTTTAATCCTCTCAGTCTGAGCTGAATATTTCCATCTGGTTTCCTGCTTAGTCCTTTGAAGCTATATTTGATTAATGCCCTAATGGTTAGCTTTAGGATAAAAGAATAATCTCTCCTACCCCTCACATGAGCTGCTAGATGGGAATTATCTAGCAGAAAGGTGCCACTGTAAATAATCAGTCTCCATTCTGCCAGTGCCTTTGTTGTTTTCTGCTTTTGTTTAGTGTGTATGAAAACAGTAGCTGAGCAAACACGAATGGGATTTCATTTGCCTTTAGGTATGCAAAGGTTAAGGTTGTATCCCTTTTCGTGGTGGGAGACTCTTCCACTAAAGCAGTGATTGCACTGACCCCAGTTCACCTTCGCCTGGTACACTGTGTTTAGTACTTTTCTGGCTCTGAGAAAAGCTGTACTCAGAGTAACTGTGTGGGTCTTCAGTCTGACCTTCTGACACAGGCCCTGTACTTTCTTTCCCCACCTTAGATGCTTGGCAGCTTTTTTTTTTTTTTTTTTTTTAACGGGATTCTTTTTGCTTGGCGTGGAATGCAAACCTGTAATCCCTGTTGAGGCAGGAGGATCACAAGTTTGAAGCCAGCCTGGGTAATTTAGGGACACCACGTCATAGAGGCAGAGGGCCCCTTGGTTCAATCCCCAGTAACCACCCGCCCCAAGCACACACAAAAAGGGTTCCTTTCAAGTGTAGATTAAGACTTTAGCTCTGCTGTTTAGGCTAATTAGAAGTAATGTGGAGGCTACTTCTGGAATGCTGAACCTTGGTCATCTAGTTCAAAGACTGGTGGGGACTCCACAGTTCTGAGAATCTTCAGGGGAAAGGGAGCCCTAAGCAAGGACAGATCTCTACCAACAAAGAGCGCTCCGGAGTATCTTTCTCTGGTGGCCTGAGCATGCCGATCAGTTCATATGTGGTGGGGGAATGCCACCAGAATTCTTGGTGGTAATTGGGACTAAAAAGGCATGTCTAGTTTCACTTTCTCTCGCTTTCTTTTCTCTCTCTCTCTCTCTCTCTCTCTCTCTCTCTCTCTCTCTCTCTCTCTCTCGCTTTCTTGAGAGCAGATGAGAGTTAGTTTCATGAAGAGTAAAGCAGCTCGACCGCAGCATGCATGGCTTGCTTTTGACTGTGGAGTAGGGGAGCTGGTGCTCCCAGGAAGCCTTGAAGCATTGGCAAAAAAGGAGGGAAGTAGGCCTATTAAACCAAGAATAGTGGGGTGCTGTCCCCAGGGTGGGGTCTTTCTTTCAGTGGACAGCATTGGGTGCCAGAGGTATGAGGGGTGCAGGAGGAAAGGCGGAGACCGAACGGGACTCCAGCCGGTTCCTGCACAGCGCGCACACCCAGTGGGAAGGAAGAGGAAGTGTGTTCTGGAATAGCGCAAGCAGCTGCCGCCATTGGCCGCTAGGCTTGTCAGTTGCCTGGGGCTGAGGCTAAAAAGAGGAAGAAGAAGAGCAGGGCTGTTGCCTGGAAGGGAGGAGGAGGGCTGAACCTTGCAAGCCAGGGGGCGTGGGGGCTGGGACTGCAGGTCGATTGGCAGGGCGGGGCTGCCGTGGATTCTGGCCACTTCTCAATCGTTCCTCTTCTGATTCAGGGTGGCATTGTGCTTCTCAGCGTGCTGGAGTATTCCCAGACCAGAAGCGAGGCTGAGCCCAGAGGGCTGGGTTGCTTCAGCAGGGAAGACTCCCTTCCCCCCCTGCTTCAGGCTGCTGAGCACTGAGCAGCGCTCAGAATGGAAGCCATCGCCAAATATGACTTCAAAGCCACTGCAGACGATGAGCTGAGCTTCAAAAGGGGGGACATCCTCAAGGTAAGTGTTGATGCCAAGCACGATGCTGAGGTTGCCTCTCCTTGTGCTCAGCTACCTTCTTTGCTGTGGTTACACACAAAGAAGCTGTGCTTGTTCTTTCATGGCACACTTTTAACATATACCATTAGGTTTGATCAGGATAACTTGCAGTAGGCGCTGAGTTGAATATTAAATGTGACTTAAGAGTTGGTGTGATGTGTGGTCTTTAACTGCCTTTGTGTGGTTACCTTGAGTAGTTCTGTTTGTTGATACTGCCAAAATTTCAAGAAAAGTATGAGTAATATGATTGTAGAAAGGAAGGAAATGAGTAGATTGATTTACATTGTAAAAAATCAGAGTTTATAAAAAATCAGAAAAATTTTTGAACACCTAAACTTGAAGTATTTTTTGTAAAAGTATTCCATTAGTCTTATTTTACATAGCCAAAGGGTTTTAAATTCTGTAATATCTTGGTAGGTTAGAGATTGATTTTTCCCAGTTTAGAGGTTGTTAGAAGTATTTGCCAAAACTCATTAAAGAACCTAGATGTATTTTTATTCTTTATGAAAAAATCTAATGGAGTTGTATATAATAGGGTTCAACTTGTCATTGTACAAGTCAGATTTCAATTTTCTTAAGTTGAGGAGCAGTTATTCCTTATTAAACTCTAATTGCAAAAAGAAATCTGCTGATAGTTTTGAAATAGCTTCACATTTGTAGCTTATTTTGAGTCTCACTATTTACATTGAGCATTTGCTCCCCACCTGGCACATGTTAATTATGTTGTTTACCTAATTGACTGGAGCAGTTTGCCCTTTTGGATATGCAAATTTATCTTTACAGAGGTGAGTATTGTCAAGAATGTGTCGACTTTAAATGAGAAAAGCTGAAGTTTAATGTGTGAGTGTTGACCTTGTCTCAAGTGGTGACATTCTTTCCTCTGAGCCTTAGTCTGATTGTCAGAATTTGCCAGCTTTTTGTTTTCTACCCTTGAATGAAATTCTTAGAATTTATAGAGGAAGTAAGTGAAAATGTGATTTACAGAAACAGCTGCATAGAAAGATTCATGATTTTTTTTTTCTTCAGTTATGTGGGCATATTGATAGTTGCTATTTTGCTCCCAATGCCTAAGGCATGGAATTCTACTCTGTAGTTGCCTGCACAGCAGTTTTCTAATGTTAGAAATATAGGTTAATCTTTGTAGAAGGTGATAGGAAAAGCCCTGAAGGGAGAAGAAAGCTTTGTTTTGACATCTAGCTCTTTAGGTGTTCTTAAAGTCCATAGTGTTTGTCAGAATGCTTGCAGAATGAGACCTTCTTATTTTCTTAGAGAGCTGGAAGTAGAGCAAAGGCACCTTGACACATCACTCCATGTCATTGATGTACAGAGATAATTTGATGTTTTTGTGGGTGATTACTATTTCTAGCCGATAACCCACTTGTAATAAAATGACTACTCAAGTACACACCTTTGTACCCTGTGCAAAACCCTTTTTGAAACTTTTTTAACAAATAGATTTCTCCATCAACCCACTGGAAGGCTGATAGTTTATATTTTTCTCTAAGTCTATCCCATTGCATATTTGGCACTAAATCAAATTCAAACAAAACACAGGGATTTGACGTCTTTTTGGACTGTAACATTCCCTGATTACTGTCTCTGAAGTTTGTTCTAGACCATAAGCAGTTATAAGTTCTTTACCTTAAATCTTTCCTTCCAGAAGATTTTCTTTTCTTTCTTTCTTTTCTTTGTCTTTCCTTTCTTTAAAGACAGGGTCTCAATAAATTGCCGAGAGTCTTGCTAAGTTGCTAAGGCAATTGGTGAGCCTAAGGCCTCAGCCTCCTAAGTAGTTGGTATTTCAGATGTGGCCACTGCACCTGGCCAAACTTTTATGATGGAGAAGTGATTCAGAGGGCTTACATTTACTAAAATACATATACTTGATTCTTTCCAATTTGGTAGATAACTGAGATATGAAATCATAATGCCATTATTGCTTTTGAACAGTGGCCATTAGCTGTTTCTTAATAATCTTGTGACTTTACTCAAAAAAAAAAAAAGTGTCCATATAGTAGTTGCCCTTTGTCTCATAATTGAAACAGCTGAGTGAAGAGGAGTGATGTGCTTTGTCATAAGTGAGGTTAGTGAAGCAACAAAACAACAGTTTTTTTCATTTGATTCTTTAAGGAGTAAACTGGCTCCATTTGACTGGCTTTGATATCATTTGAAAACTCTTTTTAGGATGTTAGTTGTGAACCAAAACATGTTTCAAAGTGGCTAGAACAGCACTGACCAGTTTAACTTGGATTGAAATAGGGCTATATCTGCCCTCCTTGACAAAGAAGACATGTACATATGAGTTGAATGTAGTTCATTTCAGTATAATGAAATAGATGGGGGCTTTGCCCTGTGCCTCTGATTAGAGTTAAAGATTACATCTTCTCGTTATCTTGAAGTTCTTGGTTAACTTTTAGTTAGAAAGGATTCCTATCAACAGATTCCTTCTTTGCTTTATATATGTACGTTGACCTGCTGCCCTGAGAAAAGAAAGAAATAAATACATTTTACTGGAAAGCTGAGGTTGTAGCCCAGTATCAGAGTGCTTGCCTCACACATGTGAGGCACTGGGTTTGATTTTCAGCACCACATAAAATAAAGATATTGTGTCCATGTACAACTAAAAAATATTTTTTAAAAGCATTTTACTGGAAGCCTAAATCAGAACTGAATGCTTTAATATATCTGTGTTGTCCCTTTTATATAAGCTTGCATTTCTTGGGAAGGGAAGGGCAATGGGCCTTAAAAATGGAAACACTTGCTCTTTTCTTGCTTGAGGCCTTGCAAGGCTGAGATGCACTTAAGTTTCTCCATTATAGTAGTGCAGGCTTATGATAGTCTCTGAGGTTCTTTGCTGACAAGTCCCCTGAGTAAAGGGCTGGGGATGTAGCTCAGTGGTAGAATGCTTGCCTAGCATTCTACAAGGCCCTGGGTTCAATCCCAAGCACCAAAACGACAACAACAAAACAAAAAACCCTGAGTAGTCTTCACTAGGTCACATGAAACTGCCTGAATTGAACTCAAAGTTACAGTTGCTGTGTAGGGGCATATGTTACCTGCTTCAAACAGTGCTGCATAGGAATCAGAAGGCCATTTTAAGCTTTCAGACTTGTGCTCATTCCAGCCTAGAGCTAGCTGCTTACTTTCTTCAGCTCTGGATGAGATCCAGTCCTGCTCTGATAATCTACGCGCCTTCTCCTGCTGTCACTCACTACCCTTACTGGCTTCCTGAACTACTCGAGAAATAGGTCCCATGTTCACTTTGGGCTCTTTGCAGGTGCTGCTTGGCCTGTTTCAGTGTCATACTTACCGAGTACCTCCTTGAGCTAGATCCTGGGAGCAGTTGCTTTGAGAGTTAGGGAAGAAATTAAGATGTCCTTTCTCCCTTCAGCAGTTCTAAATTCTTATAAGAAAAATGAGTAAGATTAATACATGAAACAGTACCAGGTAGTATATTAACTTATAGGATTTGTAGAACAGGAAAGATCTTTTAAAATCTCGTAACTTAAACTCTTTATTATTTTATAGATGAAGAAATTATGCTTCATAGAGGTTAAATGATCTGTCCAAGATCACACAACTATTAATTCTCAGTAGTGAACCTGTGTTTGGTGGAATGCTGGAGTTGAGTTGCACACTAATTGCTAGAGTAATTCAGGAAAGGAAGAAATTAGTAAGAGCTGACATCAAATGAAGATGTGTGCAAGGGTTGGGATTCAAACTCTACCTTGGGAGATGAAAAGTATGGGTTAAGAGAACAAGGGACATTCAGCAAGCAGGGAGTCGTGTAGGGGAAGGTGCATGTTGTGATTGAGATGGAGAGGACAGAATAAGTGTCTAGATGGTGAATATTAGAAAAGAAGATAGAATCGGAGCCAGGTAAGAAAAATCCAGTAAGAGTTTGGTTTGGTCCTTAAGAAGCCTCAGGAATTTAGCTGTTGATGAAAGTGTCCTCTGTGCATAATGCATTGCAGAAAGGGAGGCTCAAAGCTCTGAGCCTGGAATGTTGCAGTAATAAGGGTGTGAGCTAGGAGGGGAGTGGTTCCAGAGATGCTGAAAGAAAAAATAAAATAATGGTATTTCTGCCTGTCATCTAGTGACATTTGCACAAGTCTCCTGTGTAACTGAATAAAGAATGACTATTTAAGCCAAATGTTCTGTGCATGCCTGTAATCCCAGCTCTTTGGGAGGCTGAGGCAGAAGGATTACAAGATCAAAGCAAGCCTCAACAACTTAACGAGACCCTGTCTCAAAATTAAAAAGAGGACTGGAAAAAATAAATAAATGAAAAAAATAAAAATTAAAAAAAAAAAAGGACTGGGATGTGGCTTAGTGGTTAAATGCCCCTGGGTGCAAACCCTAGTGCTACCCCAAAAAAGGGGATGGGGTGGGGTAAAAAGAATGACCATTGATTATAATCCTTGAAAAACCAAACCCTGGTTTGGTTGGTCACAGTTTTCATCATGGCTCTAAGTCCTGAATTCCAGCGTACAAGTCTCATTTTGGGTGTTTGAATTATCCAACCTAAAGAAATAAGAGGTAGAGCTGGGCACAATGGCACAGGCCTATAATTTCAAGGACTCTGGAGGTTGAGGCATGAGGATCCCAAGTTCTAGGCCAGCTTCAACAACTTAGAGAGATCCTTCTCAAAAAATAAAAAGGGCTGGGGATATGGCTCAGTGATAAAAGTGCCTCTGGGTTCAATCTCCAGTATCAAAAAGAAAGAAAGAAAAAAGAGCAGAGGTGTTTTTAAGAATGAGTACAGCTAGGCCCCGTGTCTCACGCCTGTAAACCCAGCAGCTCAGGAGGCTGAGGCAGGAGGATTGCGATTTCAAAGCCAGCCTCAGCAACTCAGCAAGGTAGGTGCTAAGCAATTCAGTGAGACCCTATCACCAAATAAAATACAAAATAGGGCTGGGGATGTGGCTCAATGCTTCAGTGCCTCTGAGTTCAATCCCCAGTAC